CTACAAAATTCACTTAAATTCTCTTTCAACTCCTATGCAATAGTAAGCTGATAGAATAAGTGCTGTGCCTAATAGATATGTTGCCTCCAGTGTTGCAGACTGTAGGTGTCTGTGCTGAGAGAGAGAGAGAGAGAGAGAGAGAGAGAGAGAGAGAGAGAGAGAGAGAGATTGAGAATTACTGACTTAGCCTTACTCCCTTACAGAATTTACAAATGAAGAAAAAAGCCCTTAGAGATGAAATAACCTTGAAATACACGTAACTAGCTAATAGTGGGATTCATATTTGAACCTGGTTCTGCTGGTTTCAGCTCAGGGTTCTTTCTACTACAGCTTTTCTCTCTCATGCTATGATTTTGGTCTCCTTGAAGAAGTTCCACCACTGACCTTCATAGTAGTGAAATTCCTGATGCGGTCAAATTCAAACATGATCTCGATGTAGCCATTGGTGGCGCTCTCATTCCGCCAGCCCACATAGTCATAGCCTGGCCACACGTGGTATTCATGAGTCTGGGTGAAATCATCCAGGCCAGACACCCCATCTGTGAGCTGGCCCAGCCCCTCAGTCATGCTGCTCAGGCCAGGAGAGGAGAAGGAAAGGAGAAAGGAATCTGGAGTTAGCCATGAATTCATGGAAGAGTTTTGATCCAGCTACTTCACCCAAGGTTTTGTAAGAGCTGATTATCTTGGACGTTGAAGAATTATTTAAAAAACAGAATTTATTTTATAGTAGTGATTCATTTATTTTTCCCAAGCATCAAGGGAGAATTAAGAATTTTATATAAATTAATTTTACAAAATGTTCAATGCTTACCACATTAGTGGCAAAACTCTTAATATAATTTTATATGAAAACTTTTGGAGTCTGTAGAACTCTTATATACTGAATATAATGTCTTAATATCATGAATCAATATTATCAAATGCACATGATGAATTAATTCATTAGTAGGTGAATGAATGAAATGAAAGCTATAGTAAATAGTAGCACTTAACCTCTTACTAAATAAGTGTTCCCAGAGCCCACTGGAAAATTTTTCAGACTCTCTTTTGACTATATGTCATCACTGTACAGTGAGTTAATGTTATTTTTAAATTTTTTATTTTTATTTGCACATGTTTGCAGTACATAATGATTACTTCATGGGGAGGTGTTCGTACCTGTATATAACACATGTGAATTCTTTTTTCATCCCTTTCCCTCCTCTTTCCCTCCACTCCCTCCAACTCTTTGTCCCTTTCCCTTTTGCAAAAGTGAATTAATTTCAGAGAAGCCAAACATTCCCTCTTCTTACCTGAGATTTCCAACAACCCAATTTAACTAAGGGCAGAAGAAAAAGGGAGCTCTGTTGAATTTAAACACTAATATATAATTACTTTTAAATAAACATGTAGAATATTAGAACCATGGAGTAAAATGCAGAAATCTCCTGAGAATCTCAGATATTAGATGTGAATTTATTTTCTAGCTTGGCAGCCTTTTCCATTTTTGAACACAAGGCTATTTTGAGGAACTGAGTATGTCTGACTCCTGGATGGGATGTGAGTGTATTTATATTAATTGGCCTATGTGAAGAATATGAAAAGGTGTCCTTCTTTCTTTTCATGGAGGGACAGAGCAAAACCACACCACACGAAACATCTCTTGTCCAGCTCTGTACCACAAGCTGTGGGAGATATGTTAGGAGGCTCCCAAAAGAAGAGCTGCGGCTAGTATCCTCAAGAAGCCTTGGAAATGATCTCTGAAGTTTATAGAACAGGCAGTACGTAAAATGTGTGAATTGCAAGAAAATGATTAAGGTTATGTCAGCCTTAAAAATACATTTTAAAATAAACTTATTTGTTAAAATTTTTTGCAAATTATAAATTTTGTCTGGTTTTATCCAGTGACCAGAGCCTGAACCTCCCTTCTGAGGTTTTGCCTTTTATTTCTTCTCTCTGCAGATCAGAAGGCTGGGTTAACATAAATTTACTTGTAATAAATATAGTTGGCATTGTCCTCAGAAAAATAAATCCCATGAAAGTCTTGTGAAAGCAACATGAATTAAAAGAAATGATTATCCCATTTCTCCATCATCAAAATTAAATCAAATGTAGAATAAAGAAGGAAACTTTCCAAGTTTAATTTATACACTTTAGAAGTACTAGAATTACTAAAATAAGTACAGATTACTTTTATAATTTTTTACTTAGAAAAAGTAAGGGTTAGAGATATGAGTAACAATACAGCACTTGCCTAGCATGCACAAGGCCCTGGGTTTGATTCTCAGCACTGTCAAAAAAATTTTTGTTTTGTAACTCATCTATTTCCTGAGCCCCTTTATCTGGGTGGCTATCTTAAATCTCCTCACTCAGCCATACCACAACCAGATATGCAACTACTTCAGTTATTTCATTTCTATAATTGTTCTATTATCCTTTGGGGTCCCAAGCTGTATTTCCAGCTACTTTCCTTGTTCTCCATGTGAATGTCTTGATTACCCTTTAAATTTATATCCCAAAATAAATCCATCATCACCCTCTGCTAAGCTAACTCTTTCACCCAGGTTTCTAAGTTTTTCAATTGCATTTCAATTTCATAATCAGAGATCAGAGTACCTCCTCTTCCTCCACCCTCTTTTTTTCTCCATTGTTTCTTCCCGGCCCTGAAATTCAAATTCCCCCCACATCCTGCATAATCTGCATTGTTACACTTCTCATCTACTACTCTGCTACACAAATATCACCCGTGGCTAACAAAACTATCAGTTTTCCCCAGATCATCCCTCTAAATTTTACAACCATGGTTTCTTTTTTCTTCATGGAAGTTCTACCCATCTTTTGGGACCTATTTCAGATTTTATCTATTCCATTATTTCTTTATAGGTCCTTCAATCCGATAATAACTTATATATGTGTGGCACTTAACCTTTACAAAATTCTTTTCTTACAAAGTTTTAATCACTTAAACCTTAGAGCAAGCAGAAGTAAGTTTTATTACATGAATCCATCTGCTTTCCCTTCCTACCACAGCATACTCTGTCCTCTAATCCTCAATGAATTAACAATATTTCTTACCCACATCCTTGCATCATAGTAGTTTATGTCCTCACATAACCCCCATTCCAAATTTTGAGTGCCTTAACATAAAGACCAATGATTTTATTGCCTTTGAATGCCTACAATGCCCAGCACAATTCCTTGCACATAGTAACAGTTGATTAGCAAAGACTAATGAACCTAAACTGATTCCATTGATTTCCTCTCTGAGTTCAGTTGATTTCCTCTCTGCCTTGAGTATATGCCAGCTGGGGGTATGGCTGAGTGAAATGATACCAAGACAATTTAGGAAAATAGGAAAGAACAATGACTAAGTGGAGGAAAAGGAAGTGACTAGGAACAAAAGCAACTAGTGGATGTGCTGTAATTACATTCTCCCCTCCCTGAGACATAATTTCTCCACCTCTCAAGCCCTAGAAACCTCATCATCTGGTCTGAACTTCACTGTGGTCTAACTTTTCTCCCAGGCTCAATCTTTGCAGATAAGGACTGAGCTAAGAGGGAAAAGCATTGATGTGGGCTAGAAGGATGATAAAGCTTGGAGTGGAGTAACCGTGATAGAAACTCCAAATTCCTATTGTGTTTAATCATACTCCTCCAACATGGCTCTCCCATCATCCATTTCAGGGCTATCTGTTGGTACTTTCTTTTGCTCTCAGATCTAGTGTTTACCTTAATCAGAAAATTCCTGTCCTTAGCCCTGTTCCCTTTCCTTCTTTTCCATCTACTTGCCCCCTGCTTCAATTCTCATCATTTCTAGAAATGTTCCTTGTCTATTGTAAGTTTTCTTGATTTCCATCTTTTCATAATATATAAATCTACATTTATGGAGTCCTTTCTGCCTGAACTTCCTGACTTGCCTATTTTATTGTAGTTATTACTTCAACTCTTCCAGCCTTTTATCTTACAACCAAGCCAATATTTGAGTCAGAACATACATCTTGTTTTCCAGGTCAAAATTATGACTACCACACTTCTGAATCACACTACAAAGTTTAGCCTTTTATTTATGTAATTTATTGTTGTTTTCTGTGTGCTTACCTTGTCTTCCCAAAGTCAGCATTTTAATTTCCTTGGAAATAAAGGCCACATAGTTTACTTCATCTAAATTATCTCACAATAATTAGTACATAAATTAAATACTGATTGATTGATTGATAATTAATCAAGCTATATAAAATATTACTTTTTCCTGGTGGTCATTTTCCCATTCTGATGAGCAAAGTTTCCCAGGATTTACCTGTACCCAACAGCTCCATCATAGACAGAATCATTCAGATAAATAATGGAGCCTCCAGGGAGTACAAATTGCTGCCCAGCTGGAGCATTGTAAGACACCAAGCCATCTGCCAAAGGAAACGCAACTGTCAGTACCACAGGGAATGAGATGAGGTTGCTGCGCAGACCATATACCCTCAGGGAGCTACATGAGCTTCCAGGGTGCAAACCTGTGCAGTATGTCCACTAGGGTTCAAGTCAGGTACACAGGGAGCACTGCTGAGGAGCACTCTTCAGTAGCAGTCAGCAGAGTGACTCTAAATACATAGTTCCAGGTGTAGGTAGGTCACCAAGCCTTGGGTAGATGAACAGCGATCCATTCTCTACTCTAACCAAGAGGAAATAATTTCATGCCAGGGTAACTGATCCCATCCATTTCTGATTTGATTGTCTTTATTTCCCAGGGATGGGGTTTTTCATAAGGTCTGTAAGATCCCTGTGCTAGAGACCTACCTAGCCAGACACAGCCATAAAGCTCCACCCTCATGCACACATTCATAAGGTGATCAGTGACTGGAATGAAGCGGACAAATCTGGCTACAATGGGAGGCTCCAAGTCCTTCAGGAAAATGTCATAGGGGTTACTATTTCCATCTAGCACCTAAGAAGAAAGAGAAGAGAAAGAGTAAAGAGAGGGTATAAAATCATGCTCACTCTTCTTCACCTCATCACTCTTTTGATATCCCCTGTCTTTTTAATTCAAGAAATAGACTGTATCCACTCAGCTTTCCTAGCTGCCCTGATATCCTTCTCTGGGCCACCTCTCACACCCTAGGTCACAATGACAAGGGCATGCCAGGACTGTAGATATACATATCTACACAACTTGTGCTTTTTTTCTTTTGGCCTAAGTCAAAATCTGGTGTTGGTCCCCCAGCAAGTGGATGTCTCTTCTTCCTACCTGTTTTCCATGCCGGTTCCGCCAAGAAATCCAGCGAGTGCCATCCCGACTGTAATTGATCTTGTACATAGGTGCGAACTCAATGCCATGACCACCTGCATGGCGCCCCTGGGTCCCCACAAGAGTGATAAAATGTAGGGTATGCAAATCAATCTGCAGAAATTCTTTCAGGTCATCAGGTTCCACTGGAATCTCAGGACACCAGGCTCCATCCCCTTCTTCTGAGTCCAGCCTTGAAGGGTAAGGGTTGAGGAGAGAGGAAGCAACTATAAGACCATAGAGTTGTTTACCAGGTCACAGAAAGTAGCTATTCTGTGCTGAGGGAAGAGAGCAGGCTTGAAGTCCTGTCCAGACAGAGTTTGGGGTTCTCTGCCCTGGTCTGATTGCCCCCACCATTCCCATTTGTGGTCAGTTTCCTTTCTCTGAAACACCACAAAACCCATAGGGAATCGCTACCAGGGAGTTGGAGGCCTTCAGAAAACATTCAGCCTTTGTTTTTCAAGTTGATTTAGAGACCTCAAAGGACATGAAGCCCGCTCTATACTCTGCCCCCCAATAGAGGCATTTCATCATCCCTCTTCCCAGTTTTCAGAGTCAGCCTAACACAAGTAGCCACTCCTGACATGGATATCAAGTTATGGGAGTGGGGATGGAGGGACAGTAGGATCTCCAGTGTAACTATGCAGTGCAGTAGAATGTTAACCAGCAAGATGGGCATGACTACCCAGCAAACATTACAGGAACCCAACCTGAGGGTAAGGGCTAAGAGCATGTCAGGGGAATAGTAAATAATCTGGTTTCATTTTATTACCTCCAGGCTGAGTTACTACTGAGCAAAACTGTGAAATCAATATAGGGTTTATTTTGGAAATCTCTTACCACTTTCCCTCTTCCCTGGAATGCTCTCTTTTCTCACAGATGTTACCCATTCATTTGTTGCTCCCTTCCAACCTCACCAACCATCACTCTAGTCTTTCACACACTAAGCTAAATATTATGAGGAAAGTTTACCAGGGTCACTTTCCTTATGGGTGATTTCATTTTAATAAAACCAGTACCTTACACCGAAAGAATTAGATCCCACAAGGAGGAATAAGTTACAAGAGTAGTTTTTGAGTTGGGATTTTGTTGCTTTAGAGGACCTCTGAAATATTACCAGAAGGAACCGATGATGCTCTGTTTATGGGTGCAGTTTAAAAGAAAAGAATTGGTTGAAGGCCTCAATGTCTGGTTTAGCTTTGGGCGAGTGATGTCTGTACAGATACCCTCCCCTCCCAGAGGAGGAACAGGTCTCCTAACTCCCAGTATCCCACAACATCTGGACCTTCCCATATCTGCTGCCTTGGTCTCCTTCCTGCAGCAGCTCACAGTGAGAAGGTCAGGCAATGAGAATTCCCTGCAAATCAATGAATCCATTCACTGTGGGCCTGTGGCTCTGAGGCATCTGTGGTTGGGATGAGGTTGTCAGAGCAGCACATGCAGCCAAGCCCTTAGTTCTCTCCCTGAAAGCATGAAGAGCAGGACAAGTCCACTTAACATCTGTCCTTCATTCCACCAGCTCAGACCAGTACCACCCCTCTTCACCTGCTGCCTGAGGCATCTGTGTCCTAAAAATGTGTCAGGCATCTGTGTCAGGCATCTGTGTCCTAAAAATCAGAACCACCCAGAATCCAGGCTTTCCTGATGTAGCCATTCTCACCTTCCATATTTAGCAGCTGTAGACTCCGACCACTGACTGGAAGCTGTGATGTCCTCATCTGGAATCTGGCCTCCTGACATGCCCAGAGGATAGCGGCATATAGCTGGACCAAAAGAAACCAAAGATAAAAGAGAGGGCATGCTTTTATTTTTATTTCCAGATCCCCCCAGGGAGACTATAACTGATTACTGAACAGGAAGTAAGAGATCTTAAATTTTCCTAAGTCTCTCTAGGATCATGGTTTGACCACCCTGACTTTACCAGACTTTTCTTTCTGGCCCTGACTCCATAAATCAGTTAGGCTTCCAAGATTTGACCTTAGACAGAATTATCTTTTGGTACAAACTCTCGCAAGTAATGTAATATGGTATAATGTGCTGATTTATTCTTTTATTTGGTAATAACCCCAATGCCCCATCCTTTTCCCCTTATTAGCACACATGTATTTCTAACACTAGTGTATTTCATAACACTAGTGAGTCATAATCATCAGGTACTCCTGTGGCCCATAGCATTCTTTTCTTTTTAGGTAGCTAATTACATGAAACTATGAAGTAAACCAACAAATTTCCATGAAAGTATTAAACCTACATTTTTGGCCCCAATAGCACCATGTCTGGCTCTTGGTCAAAAATAATAACCTCTAGGGATGGACTTCTACTTTCAACTAAGATGGAGTGACAGAGACAAGATCCACCTTCCTGTATTAAACAACCCCCCAAAAAATATGTGAGATACATGCTTTCAGAAAATGAACATTAGACAAAAAAGGACAGCAATTTCTGAAAGACAAGATACAAAGATGAGCCCTACAACTGAGGTAGCTTACTGCTCTGAGGGTCCAGTTACAGAACAATGAGTGAAAACTCAGCAGAGCTTGGAGAATCCTCTGAACTAAAGAGACAAAGATATGAGTCCAGAGAGCTCCAGAGAATTGGACTTCTCAGAATATATAGAGCTGCCAGGTAAGATATAGGATACCTAATTAAGTTTCAATTTCAGATAAACATTTTTTTAGTGTACGCTTCATGGAATAAAAAAAATTCAAGGCATGCCAAGCAGCAGAAAAATAGAACTCATCTTGAGAAAGAAAAATACAAAAAGCAAAACAATTTAAACTGATTCAGAACTGACAGCATCAAAAAATCTCAATAGCATTTTTATAGAAAAAATTTTTAAAGTTCTAGGATTCACATGCAACCCCAAAAGGCTCTGAATAGCCAAAACAATTTTGCAAAAGGAGAACAAAGCTGGGGTATGACACTCCAAATTTTAAAATATACTGCAAAACTAAAGTAGTTAAAACACTACAATACTGTAATAAAAAGACATGTACACCAATGGAACAAAATAGAGAAGTTAGAAATAAACTCATACATATAGCATAACTGATCATCTTCAACAAGGGGGCAAAAAAATGCAGTAGGGAAATAATAGTTTTGTCAACAAACTTGTGGGAAAACTGGATATCCACATGCAAAGAATGAAATTGGAACCTTACATTACACACAAAAATCAACTCAAAATGGATCAATCATTTAAATGAAGAATCTGAAATTCTAAAACTCCTGGAAGAAAACATAATGGCACTGGATGTGACACCAAAAGCACAAGCAAAAATGGGTAGAACCACATTAAACAACTTATACACAGCAAAGAAAACAATTAACAAAGTAAAAACCTTTGAAATGGGAGAAAATATTTTCAAGCTACACATTTGATAGGGGTTAACATCTAAAATACATAAGGAGCTCATGCAACTCAATAGTAAGAACCACATAACTCAATTTATAAATGAAAGACCAGCACCCGGAAGGAAGGTCCCCCGCTGCCACCCCAAGTTCCTAGGGCAGAGAAGGTGAGCTGGTCCCAGAACCTGGAAGGAAGCACCCCTGCCACCATCCCATGCTCCTAGGGCAGAGAAGGTGAGCCACGTGGGTGCCAGAAGCACCCTCCCCCCATGGAAATGAGAAGACACATAAATAAGCCTCAAAAACAGACTTCTGGATCACCTACAGCAACCCCAGAGGGGAACGAGATCGAACAACCTGATACTCAATCACCTGGACTCTCTGAACTGGCAACAAAAGAGGATCTGGGAAAAATGAAATCAGAAATAATTACTCAGATAACAGCAAAGATTGTGCTCATAGT